TCTGACTTCTGTCCTCCCAATGTACCAACACCCTGTTCCCAAAGAGAAAGACAGTTATATAACACTTATTTCATATACATGGGTTTATTATTAGTACATCAACCTGATAATAACATCAAGCCGTTTACAGAATGCACGGTGATCATCTAGGCGGTGACACATCAATGCGATGTGATCACTTCCTGTGTGATGGTAATTGCCACCAGAGCAGGCTGTTCTGGACCCGTCCATCTGTCCTGCCCTAATCCCGGCTCATGGGATAAAGGACCTGCAGGGAGTCAATAGGAGGCGATTAGCAATTTGTACCTCCTGTGCTGGGGGCAGCAGGAAGGTAACTCAGGACAAGGGGAGGAGATCCCACAGTGATAATTGCAATTCACTGAATCAGGGAACATCAATGGGACGAGCCTTTCATTCAATTAGATGGGTTACAGTACAGCAGCTATTTAAGGACGACTATAGCCCGGAACAAAAGTTACATTATATACATTAGGTGTACATAATTGAGATATTTGACATTTTTGTAGCTTTTTTGGTGCTGCCACCAAAGGAAAAAGGAGGCAGCAGAATGACACTTTAGGTGCCTACTATGCTGGTGGCTACAAATGGTCAATCCATCCTGGCCAGGATATGTCAGGGAGGGCCCACATACATTCAACTGTAATTGGGCAAATATTCTCTTAGGTCTGCGGGCACCCAAAAAAAAAAAGCAATCCCCCCATGGTACCAGTTCTAATATTCTTATCTAATTTTCTTTACAAATGTAGTTCTGGATGGAACGGAGCAGGAATCAGTTTAGGAGAATAATTAGTGAGCTGCATACAAAAGTCAATGATCCCCTAAAAAAAACTGCATGGGTTGCAAGCGGATAGGAAGTTGTTTTGCCTGCCTGGTGCACTTATGGCACACAGACCTCTTCCAACTTGCTGGAAAATCTCTCTTAAGGTTCCCACAGACATGAGATGTTCAACTGCATTTGGTCATCTCAATGTCTATAGGCACATCTGCTCTAATTAGAAAAGCCTGGGTTGCACCAATCAAATCAGATTAAAAAAAAATAGCCCATTAAAAGCAGCTTTTCTTTGCAGTATTTGCTTTCAATCTCGAGCTGCCTCCTGCAGTTCTTTTTGCTGCCACTAGATGTCCTCAGTCTGATGGCCAGCATCATTCAACCCACTTTCTCTGAGCCAAGGTCATCCTGCACAGTTTAAACAGAAGCTGCACCGTGATGAGCTAATCTCGGTCAGGTTGCTTTCTCATCCTATCAGCATGCTCCTTGTCAGAGCATGATGCTGATGGGCTCCTTGTACTGCTTCCTACTCTCTAGGACTGCAAGAAGCTAATACAAGGTACTTACTGTGTGCATTAAAAAATTAATACATTTATTTATTAAGGATTACAGAGCTGTATTTATTTTTGTCTTTTAGTGCATATCGCCAGCATAGGACGGCGCGATGTATATTTGTGTTAGGATGAAATTAAGTGTTAAACAAGAATCAGTCAAATTGTAATGTGTAGGGCCACAAGGATGGTTGGATTGCGTCCAGACACACTCCTGTGTTTACGTGCAGCAAAACAGGCAAAAATACGTTAGATAACGCACTAATCCACTAAATGCAGACAAGTATACAGAAGACAGATCCAGATCAGTAGCCAAGTCCCAGATAAGCCCAGGAGCCAGCTCAATCAACCAGACCACTTCCCCAGCCTTATCACCCTGCTGCTGGGCAATTTACATGACACCTCTGCTATTTGCATCCTAGATGTGACAAACTGCAAGGACAACTACCACCCCCATCCCCCCACCTCCTTTGACCTGCCACTAACCTCTTCCTAACAAGCCATATCCTACCAGGGGAAGCTGCCTCCCCCCAGGGGGTGATGACTTTACAGCCCCATTAACAAGCTGCAGATTATTGTACCCATTGTAGGTACAGCTGAGATATACATCCTACTGTGTGCCATTAACCCCTTACAGCAGAGGGAGAGATGATTCAATTTTGAATCATTTATGACACATCCTGGCGAAAACCGACCTGACACAACATTTTCCTATAGATTTTGTAATTCAATTAATTTTACATTTACTGGTTCAGTTTTCGCCTCGTCTTTTTTTTAGACTTTTTTGGGATCCTAAAAAATAAGTTGGCGCAGCACACAAATGTGTATGTGCTGCGATCATGCCAAATCATAAGGGCGTATTTATAAAGCAACGAATGTGACCTTTACCAAACATTGACTGGTGGTGAATCAATCACGAATTTAAAAGATGTGCACCTAAAGAGTCAACTGCAGTGAATGATTAGTGAATGACAGATTCACTGCTTTGTAAATATGCCCCATAAAAATGTATTGTACAAAATGAATTTTTTTTTGTATAAATTATATATATAATTTTTTTTGTTTTATATTAAATTTTTTCCCCTTTAATAAATCAATCTTTTTTTTTTTTAAATCAGATTGGTTAATAGCATGAAACATGGATGTGTATGAATATCAGTAAGTGAGCCACACATTACAATACGATTGTATGATTTGCTTTACACTCAGATTCTTATTCATGCGATCGCTCAGTAAATCTGATCGGTTTTTTTAATCGCTTGGATGTCCGAGACGATCACAAAGTGTAATTCCGCTCATGCAATCAGATTTTATGATTATTTTTTTTTTTAAGAGATCGACCGATCCATGTGCATCTATCACCTATGAACAGTGTATTAAGACCCACCTAAAATTATGAAGATTACCAAAACTATGTATTATGAAGACCCACCTAAAAGTATCCAATTCGTTTGTATCCAATTGCAATACATTACATAGTTGTGGCTAGATCTAAAAATTGTTCAGTCAGATTGTAACGTGTGTGTGGTGAGCCTAGCTTCCTGTGTCACAGGATGAGATGGTTTCCTTCCAACATACATTCTTAGTTTCATAACATCAGAAATCAAATGACAAATTCTAAAAACTACAGCTAAGCAGACGCCCCCCAATCTTCAAGGGGTGCCCCCAATCTATAGGGAACATCACCACTGGGGCAACTCACACACCAAGTCAGGATTGAATCTGAAAACTATCACAATTTAGCTCCAAATTACAAATCAATAATTTAACCAATCGCTGAGATATTCCAAGACAAATAGTATAACTTGTACAACTGAACTCCCAAATATACCTCCATTACAGCAGTAATTATTGTTACTATTTATTACCAAAGAGCAAGACCATAGATGGCTTACTGGTAATAAACAAGTCTATACTCAGCTACAGCAGTACTAGACAGACAAAAAAGCACACTACAATACAGACAGATGTTTACCAATCATACAAGACAACAGATACAAAGCAATATCCAACATCATATCCCCTTCGATGTACATGTATATGAATACACACATATATTGGATATGATATCTCTCTGAAGATAGAGCGAGAATAAGGAAGACACATATTGGATATTATTAAATATATCAGCACACCCTTTAATATGTAGTTCTATTTCTGCTTAAATATGACATTATTCGGTGTATATGCATTTAAAGCTTTTAAAGATCCAATAGCGTTCCAGGTGGAGGAAATGAGTAACAGATATAAATACATACACTCCATTGTAGTAGTTATGGGTAGTTTTTTTTGTCACTGTTATAGCCTCTTAGCAAATTGAATGTGACATTGTATGCCAAATATGCAGATCCCCCCCTCTATAGGAAAGTTATATTGGCGAGTAGATCTTCTATAGAAAATTCAGTCTTCAATTGGATATCCCTTTCACCCCACTCTATAGAACAACACACCATCCTGAACCGAGGTAGCAGATCCCCTAACAGGAAAATCATGCTTCAGGCAGAAAACCCTCTTCATCCCTACTATAGAACAATTATCCCAGGTAGCAGATCCCCTCCACTTCCCCCATAGGTAGCAATGGGGTCCGCCGGGCAGGCTGCTCAGAGTATTGATGACAATGTGAGCCGGGCTCTCTTTCTTCAGCTTCTGCCACCTCTGGCTCCTCTCGTCCAGCACCACCACCACCGACACCTGTCCGTCCCGGAGCCGACAGCGGGCCCCTTCCTCGGGCACCACGAAGTGCAAGGGAGCCGCTCCCCCCCGGGCCCGGCGTAGCAGCACGGAGTTCAGGTTGACATTGATGGATCCTTGCACACTGGAGGAGCTGAAGGGCAGGTAAGGGCGGCAATCCAGCACCAGGCAGCGGGAGAACTCTTTCCTGATCAGCCGGTGCAGACGCCGGCTTTCTATGGAGGTCACCTTCATGTCTGCTGAGCTGCCGCTGAATTCTATGCTCTTTAAATTACACTTCCGCTCCGGGGTATCCCGCGGACGCCGCTTATATCTCATCGGGCCGCCCGGCCGTGACGTCAATGCCCATATATGGAGAGTGAGGCGCTCCATTCATGGAGTTGTGTGTGGCCCCGCCCCCTCCTCCTCGGAGAGTTTCCCCACTAGAGGGAGGTGTGCGGTCACTGGAAGCTGAGCTCGTTCACCGTATACCTACCGGGGCTGAATCCCTACCTGACCTCAGCCCAGAACACACCGGGGGCAGCCAGGGGAGAGAAGGGCATCTGTTAGCCTTCATTCAAACAGCAATTGGCCAGCCGAAAGGTGGCCATACATGTATCAATTTGTGATCGATCATTCTTGATGTGACATCGATTGAACATCTGTCAGAGAACGATCTATTAGAAATAATCTACATCCCCTTTCTACAGGCATCAGATCTGACTACAACCCCTTCCTATAGGCATCAGATCCCCCTACATCCCCCTTCCTATAGGCATCAGATCCCCCTACATCCCCCTTCCTATAGGCATCAGATCCCCCATACATCCCCTCCCTGTAGGCATCAGATCCAACTACATCCCCTCCTTATATATTTAAATCAATAAAATCCACTTTGGCCAATTGACTCGCCAGGCACATGCTTGGCCATCTTAGACAGGAGTCTATTAAACTCCCAGCATGTCTTTGCACAGTTGGAGGCAACCCAAGTAAGCACAGGGAGAGCATGCAAACTCCATGCAGACAGTGTCCTGGTTGGGTTTTGAACCATGAACCCCAAGTGCCGTAATTTACTCGGATGACTGTTCTCGTCACCCCAAGATAAGGCCAACGACATGAGCGCCGGCAATGACAGAGTGATGGAAGCACGGCTGAGTCTCCCAGGTGCATGTGGGTAGCTGCGTCTGATCTTTCGGTCCCTCTGATGACTCTGATCCGTCATCTGCTCCTTTGGGCTGTCACTGTCACCTGTCTGTTTGATGTTTTGTGTCTGTAGTTCTCTGTGTGTCTGCTGCACATCTGTCATCTGCCTGTCCTCTGTCACTCCTGTATCATGGAGCCTCAATCAGAAGCACTTCAACCTTCCATGTATGAGGGCTGGCTATGCTTCCTGTGTACACCTTCACACCCCATCAGACCTGTACACACGAATAGACATGACCAGACCATCAGAGCTGTATACACCAACCGACCATCAGACCATCAAGCCCTTTAAACACCAATAAGACCCCATCAGACCTGTATACACCATCAGACCCCATCAGACCTGTATACACCATCAGACCCCACCCCATCAGACCTGTATACACCATCAGACATGATCAGACCATCAAGCCCTTTACACACCAATAAGACCCCATCAGACCTGTACACACCCTCAGACCCCATCAGACCTGTATACACCATCAGACCCCATCAGACCTATATACACCATCAGACATGATCAGACCATCAAGCCCTTTACACACCAATAAGACCCCATCAGACCTGTACACACCATCAGACCCCATCAGACCTATATACACCATTAGACCTGTACACACCATCAGACCTGCACACACCATTAGTCCATCAAGCCCTTTAAACACCAATAAGACCCCATCAGACCTGTATACACCATCAGACCCCATCAGACCTGTATACACCATCAGACCCCACCCCATCAGACCTGTATACACCATCAGACATGATCAGACCATCAAGCCCTTTACACACCAATAAGACCCCATCAGACCTGTACACACCCTCAGACCCCATCAGACCTGTATACACCATCAGACCCCATCAGACCTATATACACCATCAGACATGATCAGACCATCAAGCCCTTTACACACCAATAAGACCCCATCAGACCTGTACACACCATCAGACCCCATCAGACCTATATACACCATTAGACCTGTACACACCATCAGACCTGCACACACCATTAGACCTGTACACACCATCAGACCTGTACACACCATCAGACCTGTACACAGCATCAGACCCCCATCATACCTGTATACACCATTAGACCCCATCAGACCATAAGACCTGTACACACCATCAGACCTATATACACCATCAGACCCCATCAGACATATATACACCATTAGACCTGTACACACCATCAGACCTGCACACACCATTAGACCTGTACACACCATCAGACCTGTACACACCATCAGACCTGCACACACCATTAGACCTGTACACACCATCAGACCTGTACACACCATCAGACCTGTACACAGCATCAGACCCCCATCATACCTGTATACACCATTAGACCCCATCAGACCATAAGACCTGAACACACCATCAGACCTATATATACCATCAGACCCCATCAGACCTATATACACCATCAGACCCCATCAGACCTATATACACCATCAGGCCTATATACACCATCAGACCTGTACACACCAATAAGACCTCATCAGACCATTAGACCTGTATACACCATTAGACCCCCATCAGACCATAAGACCTGTATACACCATCAGACATGATTAGACCATCAGTCCTGTACACACACCATTGGACCCTATCAGTCCTGTACACACCATTAGACTCCATCAGACCATAACCTGTACACACCATCAGACCTTTGCACACCATCAGACCCCAGGACGATTGGGTTCTCTGCAAGTGTGCATGTCCACTGGGCAATACCTGCTGTGGGGACAACTGTCTAAGCC